AAGTCGTTACGGCTATCTCAAATATGTCAAATATGCCCAAAAACTCAAACGTGCTGTCACTCGTTTAGCTATTATCGAGGAAGAAAAGCTGGCAAGAAAGAAAAATGTGCGGCGTTTCTTTAACTATTGCAATAATAAGCTCAACTTGGCCAATGAAATCCCGGAACTCTCTCTTGAAGGCAATGCGGTAGCTAGTAGTGATTATGATAAAGCCGAAGCGTTTGCTGAGTTTTTCCGTTCTGTTTATAAAGAGCCAAGCAATTACCACGGCGTGTCTACAATACCTACCTGCACCTTAGATTGGGTAGACATCTCCTCGGAGTTAGTTTACAAAATGTTGCTCAAGCTTCCCAACAGAAGCTCTACCTCTCCCGACGAAGTTCCTTATGTCTTTCTTAAGAAAGCTGCCCTCGGTCTTGTTAAACCACTCACATTACTTTTCAACAAGTTCTTGCTGTTTGGTGAATGCCCTGATATCTGGAGGGTTGGGCTTGTTAAACCAGTTCATAAGAAAGGTCCTCGGAATTTAGTTGAGAACTACCGCCCCATTTGTCTTACCTGCTGCACTAGCAAGGTAATGGAAAGAATCATTTGTTCGCGTATCATGGATCACTTAGAAGACAATAAACTACTGAATACTGCACAGCACGGATTCCTCAGTAAACGCTCTACGACTACTGCCCTCCTCTCCACTCTCCCACGGTGGCACAGAGAGCTGGATAAAGGCAGTTATGTATCAGTATGCTTTGTCGATTTCAAAAAAGCCTTCGATTCTATCCCTATCTCATTACTTCTCAGTAAAACCGGAAGTTTTGGCATAAGTGGCTGTTTGCTGCGCTTTATCCGCTCCTTCTTGAGTCAAAGAAAGCAGTCGGTTGTTATCAATCATGCCCGGTCAGACCTGTATCCCACCACCAGTGGTGTGCCTCAGGGTAGTTGTATCGGTCCTCTCATGTTCCTTTATACGTAAACGACTTGCCATCTGTCCTCCCCCCAGGTGTCTCTATAACTATGTATGCTGATGACTCTAAGCTATTCACCATCAATAATGCTGAGCTTCTTCAGGACGGTCTTAACGCCCTCGATAGCTGGGCGCAAAGGATGGGGACTTGATATATCGAGAGAGAAAACTACTGTTATGTGCCTTGGGAAAAGTCATCCCGATGTCAAATTTGAACTTACGATTAGTGGCTCCTATCCTTAAGCGGTCACGGTCAAGTTCAAATTGGACATCACTTATAGTGACACCGAGATCGCGAGTGCAGGTGACCGCTCAAGCCTTGATTTCGAATGCTTTATCCTTTTATTTTATAAAGCGCTAACTTTGTGTGTCGGTTTGTGTGTATCTGTATGTGTGTGTGTGAGTGTGTGTGTATGTAAGTACCAGTTTCAGCGCCGCACGCTACCGCGCGCATTAAACGGAAGGTCGGGATGAGACAGGACAGCCGACGAAGCGCTAGATTCACCGCTAACATAAGCTCTTTATCTTAGCAGAAGCTCACCGTTTGATACGCGCAGTGGAGTGCGGAGCTAAAGTGGTGTCTGTAAACAACCACCATGCATCGAATGCCAGTGTAATTTAGCGGTCGGATTGTGTGTGATGTTAAAATATAAACATCCAGCACTCGTTATCGTATTTTTGACTTACACCATACATTTTTAGGAACTCTGGGGGGCATAGCGGTTTAGTGGTATTTCGGGCTGGTGATAACAACGCAAATGGAAGAATATTGAAATGAAATGCTTTATCTAAAGTCTGGTTTTGAGTGACCTCCATATTCTTGCGCATATCGTTATTATAGGCCCTTATCAGCCGTTATCCCTTCCTTTTTTCCACCATATATGCTCCCGCAATACCCCCCCACAACACTTCTTCGAACCAACGCCTCACTGATGCTGGGACGCCCTCTATGGATATCGTGGAATTGGCGTTCTGGCGCCTCTTATCGGCCCTTATCAATCGTTATCAGTTTCTGGCACCCACCAACAATGTCCCCGTCCCACCCCACATAACACTTGTAAGTATGGTTGCTCTGGTGTCAACGCGAGCCAGGCAACGGAATCGACGACTTTTGCGTTCTGACGCCCCTTATCAGCCTATCGTTGCGTCGCTCTCAATGGCCACCAACAATGTCCCCGTCCCACCCCACATGACACTTGCGAGTATGGTTGCTCTGGTGTCAACTGGAGTTCCTTGACAGGATTGACGACTTTTGCATTCTAGCGCATCTTATCAGCCATTATCAGTTGCTATCGCTTTCAATCATGTACCACCAATGTCCCGGGACCGCTCCACATAACACTTGTAAGTATAGACGCTCTTTTACCAATATGAACGGCAAAACGAAATTGGCGATGCTCGCTTTCTAGCCCCTCTTATCAGCTATTATCAGTCGTTATCAGTTCCTATCACGTACCACTTGTGTCCCCATCCCACCCCCTATAACATATGTAAGAACCACTGCGCTATCGTTACTGTGACTCGAGCTATGAATTTCCGGTCAAACACACACACACACACAGACACACCTAGCCGCTTATATAGTATGATGTGTGTCGTCCGCAAGTTATTCGATGAGTGAAGAAGGCAAGCTCATGGGTTATACGAGTGTGTGAGTAGTGTGTGTGTGTCCGTCCGCAAAATGAAGTGAGTGAGAAGGAAGCTCATGGGATAAACAAACCGCTAACAAATCGGGTAGCTTACAGGATTTGAGATATCAATGTTTTGTAGCAGGATAGTTGTGATAACACTCTTAGGGCTATATAAACACCTGCTTAGCACACTTCCGTTCATTCCACATGGTGCTGCAGTGGCAGCTGGAGGGCAGTGGAGAGAGGAAGGGAGGATGAGGAAGGGAAGCGAAAAATCTACCGTCATATCATGATTGTGTCCCTTCTACTGTATGAAACACCATTGTGTTGCATACGCGTCACTTCCAGGAGGTGTTGGTGTCACAGGAGGAAGGGACCATAGCGGAGGATAGAAAGCTTGCGCAGGAAAGGAAGGTCCCGGCGGTTGACGGGGGACTAATCTGGTATCTGATATTGTGGCTAACGCTTCTTCCAGGTCCAACTTTATCTTGCGTGCCTTTCAAACCCGTGACCCTGTTCTTCTGTTCAAGCTCTTCGCTGTTTACGTGAGGCCTCTTCTTGAATACTGCTCCTCCACGTGGTCCCCTTATAAAGCGTGCCTCATTGACCAAGTTGAGCAAGTGCAAAAGCGTTTCACGTATAGAATTTTCCGTCGAAAAGGAGTATACAGAATGTCATACGAAAATCGACTCGCTCGCCTTAATGCTCTTACATTAGAGGATCGAAGAAAGATTGCTGATTTTGGCTTTCATATATAAAACCAGTTTGCTCCGCCCGCTATCGCGCGCATAACACGGTAGGCTTCAGCGAAACTGGAGGACTTAAGGAACATCTGGTGATCTACTCCACAAAGCAGCTCACTATTGGATATGTCAGTGGAGTGACCTGAGGTTGGAGGATCTCCACTTTCATTGAAGTCCATCATACATGCGCGTGAATGCGAAGCTGAGTCGGTATATTTATCACAACTCGTAAACACCTAGCATTTTTCTTGAATCCTGACAATTTAGCGGTGATTAGGGTTTTGCTGTTAGCCTTAGAATGAAAATGAAATATGCTCCTTATAAAAGTGAGATCTGATGCTTATCTTTGCTTTACATTCACACTTTCGCAAATCCTAAAGTTGAGCGGTTTAATGAGTTTGGCTTCGCTCGCTACCGCGCGCGTCAAAGTACATAGGCGGTAACAAAAATGAGCACAGCCGGGCCCTTGTGTTGAACAGCACTCATGCTTTTGATGAATCTGAGTGATGTTATCAACGAAGGTGACTATACTGCTGGTGATAAAGCAATTATTTACCGTAGCTCGTCAACCCCACAAACATCCATCATTTTTCGGAAACTAACATGGTCTAGCGGCCGAATAAGCTCAGATAACTAATACCTTTGTTGAAGTTGCACGATAGTTGTTTACGCTATCAGGACTTTGCATGAACAACTATCATGCTTTGGATGTTGAGATATTCTAGCGGTTGCAATTCTTACGTCCATTGTTACGTCTATGGCATTGAAAGAGAAGCACCAACACCATTATGCACAAACACCGACCATCCCAGAAAGCTCGGAAAGATTAGCGGTCTAAGCAATCTCGATGGCAACGACGAAATCGCAAACTAAATAGTATTTTTGTCGCCATCTAGATAACAACTTTAGCGGCTCTTCATTTTTAACGTGATCAATCTTATCAGCCCTTATCAGGTGTTATCGCTTTTTGTCCCCCACCCAGTATGTTCCCGTCCCACCCCTGTATCATATCTTGAAATCAACTCCTGACGACTTCTGGTACCCGCGCTATGAATTTCGCGACACTTGCGTTCTAGCGCCTTTTATCAGCCCTTATCAGTTGTATCACTTTCTATCACCCACCAACAATGTCCCCGTCCCACCCCACATAACACTTGTAAGTATGGTTGCTCTGGTGTCAACGCGAGCCAGGTAACGGAATCGACGACTTTTGCGTTCTGACGCATCTTATCAGCCCTTATCAGTTGCTATCGCTTTCATTCATGTACCACCAATGTCCCGGGACCACCCCACATAACACTTGTAAGTATAGACGCTCTAGTACCAATATGAACGACAAAACGAAATTGGCGATGCTCGCTTTCTAGCCCCTCTTATCAGCTATTATCAGTCGTTATCAGTTCCTATCACGTACCACTTGTGTCCCCATCCCACCCCCTATAACATATGTAAGAACCACTGCGCTATCGTTACTGTGACTCGAGCTATGAATTTCCGGTCAAACACACACACAACCGCTTAGCCGGTTATATATAGTAGGATGTGCTCAGGCTCGGAGCCATCTGGCGCGTCCTCAGGTTGTGGATAGAGGAACGGCCGTCCCCGTGGCGGTTAGCTGCGAATATATCGAATAAGCAGCCGCGAACAATCGAGCCAAAAACGCAGCTATAGGACAAGAGGGCTGCCAACCCGAATGGACTGCTGCAAAAGAAAAATCGGCAAAAACTTTGAAAATAGAATGATCTGGACCCGAGATGGGCGTGCGAAGGACCCCCGACTTTGCACAACAAGCCCACACCTCGGTGTAAGGCAGGGGCGGAAAAAGGACTACGGACGCATCAAAATGCACATCGCTTCCCACAACGTCAGGACATTATCGACAGACTCTCTCCTGACGTATATCTACAACAACTAGTTCACTTAAAGGAGGATTTTACGATTAGAATGGAGGTCGAGGAAGAAGTAATTGACCTAGTTGAGGTAACCCACGGACCTCCTGAGGGTGCGAACTGATGCGCAATTCGCATCGAAAAATTTGACCTCGGCGACCTATTATGCCTCAAAGTTGGCGGGTCTGGCGATCTCCGCCCACCGACCAGCTGATCACTCGCCGCAGATCTATACGTGGGATTGATTAGATAGCAGAGAGAGCGTGATGTTGAGGAGGGCACAGCGATAAGAGTCGCATCAATGCGCAAATCAGCGGGGAAGAAAGTCCATACCAATTCCATCTGGAAAGCCGTTTCGTCTTGTCTTCCTTCTTGTTCGTGTCCTCCTTTCGTGTACAACTCACCATCTCTAGGTTAATTTGAAATAGGTTGCTTTTTCATCGTAAATTCGTCCTTTAAGTCATTCCAAGGAAGGAAAACTCAACAAGAGAACGAACCTTTATATGACGCTGTAACAGAGCTGTCGAGGCAGAGCCTATAGGGATGGCCTCTCGTGACACACATTGAACGGAGAGACACGAAATATGTCAGAGTTAAGTTTCAAATCTACTTCACCCGATATTATCCTACATATATCAGCCTGTATCACCTGTATCCGACTCGTCCTCGCAAGCTTCTCCAATTGCGCAAGTCGACTTTGAACCATTCATTCTGGTCCTTGGCCAAACATTTTCGCCATCGGATCGGAACATCTCTTTTGGGCCTTCTTGGCGATCGCTTGTGGTCCAACGGGATCCAATTCATAAGCCTGAAAGTCCATCTGTCATCTTTAAGACGTGCTACGTGACCGGCCCAATCTCGTTTACGATTATACATTTCCTGGACAACATCAACAAGGCCACTTCTTCTTCGCAACTCTGTGTTTGTGATATGTTCACGAAGTGACACTTTGCAAATTCTGCGTTCCATTGACCTTTGCATCACAGCAAATTTCTCTTCGTCTGCTTTAGTGGGCGACCAGCATTCCGCGCCGTACAGCAACGCAGGTATCACCGTTGAGTGAAACAAAGATGCCTTCAGTTTCATCGGGAGGTTATCGTCCAGCAATACCCTTGAGATTTTGTTGAAGCTGGACCATGCTGCTTTCCTGCGTTTACTGTATTCCTCTCTAGTGCCTTCTGTGAAGCTGAGCTGGTGTCCTAGGTGTTTGTAGCTTTCCACTTCTTCAATCGTTTCACCGTCTACATTGATCGCCTCTGTATTACTGAACTGATTGTGCATCCACTTGGTTTTTAACAAGTTCATTTCAAGCCCAATTTCATTTGATTTCTTCTGCAGCAGCACAAGTTTCTGTTGGAGCTCAAAAGCATTATGTGCAAAAATAACGCAATCATCGGCAAACAGCAGATGAGTCAGCCGTTCTCCATCGATCTCTATGCCATCCGTCCAATCAAGATCACTGAACAAGGCTTCCAGAGTTAGTGCAAACAATTTCGGCGAGATCGTATCACCTTGTCGAACGCCCTTGCAGATTTTCATTTGGCATGGATCGTTGG